TGAGACAGGAGAATTGCCTGAACCCAGGAGGCGGAGGTTGCAGTGAGCCGAGATCGCGCCATTGCACTCCAGCCTGGGTAACAAGAGCGAAACTCCGTCTCAAATAAATAAATAAATAAATAAATAAATAAATAAATAAATAAAATAGAGGTTTGGGGGCCTCTCCCATCCTGCTTCACCTCCATTCGAAGATCTCTCAGGTCCTGACTCCCTATCCCCTGCCACTGTAAAACACCATGTCCTTCCCTCCTATTGGCTGGTCCCCTTTCTTGGCTTCTCTATGACTCAAAGTGATCTCAGATGCCCCCCAGCCCCCTTTCCTGCCGTGGCAAGGAAGCATTTGGGCAGGGCAGATCTGGGTGCTACCATGAGCCACCCTCAAACTCACAGCCCTGTTTGCTAAATGCTGGTGATTTCCACCACCCAGTTAGTAAGCAGCATCTCCCACCACTTCCTGGTCAGAGCCAGCACAAGGAGCCCAGAGGGGTGGCTGACCTCACACTTGTAACACTTCATGTGGAAGTTCTTGTCCAGGGCGACCACTCGCACGGTCTCATCTTTGCCAGGCTCAGGCATGATGGGCTCTGAGCAGACGGAGCACCTCGGGGCGTACTGCCTGGGAGGGGCAGAAATGGCCGGCAGTTAGCTCAGGGGGGCCAGGGCTTTCAAACCCTGTGTGCGCAAGCAGAACCCAGGTTGTGCAGCAAAGAAGGGACTCCTCTGCCCTGCATCTCTAGGTGGAGGAAGCTCACTAGAAGGGCCTAAGACTGAGCCACCATATCTGGCCCTCGTCAAAGGGAATTTCTTGCCTCACCAGTCACTCTTCCAAAGCAAGGGAGAGTCACTCTCCCACACACCAGCCAGGGTCCATCCTTACTGTCCCATTCACACTGCAGCTTCTGCAGAAAGCCAGCCCTGAAGCACCCGTCCCATCCCATCCTGGTTCCCTGACCCTTGCCTTCCACCAGTCCTCCGACCCCACGCACCACTGCCTCTGCCCCGACTGCCTGGCAGTGTGGAGCGATGTGAGTCATGGCCACCCCCGGAATCCTGAAAGTGTTTCCCCCAAACACCCCTCAGAGGTGGGGGTCAGACTGTGCACAGTTCCCACAGCTGCACTGAGGTTCTGCGGATCAGCCTGACAAAGGAGCCACCTTCTAAACACTGTTTCTGTGGAGAAACCAGTATTCCCAATAGCTGATCTCCAAAAGAACTTTTAGAACCCAGCCTGTGTGTGAAATGAAGTCACTCTAGCCCACTTCACTAAAAGCTGACATACACCCAAAATAGGCCTCAGTGCATCAAAGGGTGAGGGAGGGACTAGCCACTCCATGCCTAGGCCTAAAGCCCCTGGACAGCTACATCCAGATGACTTGGTCCCTGCTGTCTACAGATAGGACATGGGACCAGAAAGCAAGACCAGGGGTTTGGGCTGTCCTGAGGCCAGGGTAGCAAGCGGCCTGACTACCAGACCAGGTGTGGCCGGAGCCCAGAAGGCAGGTCCTCACTTGTGGTAGTCGGGGACACAGTGGGGCCGGTTGGCCTGGTCCACGATGAAGGAGGTGCCCTCCAGGGGGCGGGCGCAGATCACACAGGTGAAGCACTGCGGGTGGTAGGCTTTGCCTGTGGCCCTCAGCATGCGGTCGGTGATGGGCTGCCCACAGGTGTTGCATTTCTCCAGGGTGTCCTGAGGAGGCAGCACGAGGAGGTTGGCTAGGAACCAGCACCCCACAGCCGGCTTCCAGCGCCCGACTGCCCAGCACAGCCCGACTCACAGTGTAGCAGCCCTCGCAGTACGGTGCCCCCTCCAGGCTGTAGAACTGTTGGCCCTGGAGCTGCTGGGCGCACTGGTGGCAGGTGAAGCAGGCGATGTGGAACAGCTGCCCCAGGGCACGGACGGCTGGCTGAGCCCGGGCCAGGGGCTGATGGCATCGGCCACAGAGTTCTGGGAAGGCCAGAGAAGATGGCAATAAATAAAAGGAAGTATGAAGGGCTGCGAGGGATCAGCCAGCTCAGATGGGGAGGGGAGCCACAGCCCTGGCCCCCACCGGGATGTGGGGCAGGGTGGGGGTGACCTGGTGGGGGGGGGCTCACCATTGGCGGCCACCGTCTGCCTCTGAGGATGCTCCATGTCCTGCATTAGCTGCTGAGTCAGCTGCTCCAGCTCCTCCACCTCCTTCAGAGTCAGGGGCCCTGGGGCCCCCGGGGAACGCACCTGCAATCCCAACACTTTCTTCACACTCTCAAGGGCCACTGCCTCCCAGAACTCCCCAGGCCAGCCTACCCGGCTTCTTCCGAGGAGGTCTTAACTCCCAGCTCGTGTCCCAGATGCTCAGGCTAGACCCTGAAAGCTTCTGCTTTGTCCCCCCACCCCCCCTACCCCCAGCACCACACAAATAACAGGGGAAGGGGATCTAAGCCTGTATCTCGTCCAGCAAGACATTTCCACCCGCTTTGCCCAAACCCCCTGAGCAGTCACAGACAGGCCAGAATAACTGAGCGGACGGAGGCCACGCACACAGCAGCTCGGGTCACTGAAGCACCAGACACTCCAGGGCCACGCATCACTCCACAGAGCATGCTCAGACATCGCCCCATGGAACAGGGGCACGCAATGGTGTGCACGCACGCACACACACACCTACCCGGCCTGCCTGCTGCTGAGCAGCCCCTGTCAGCGTGAGGATACAACACAGGCAGGAATTGTAGGTTAAACCCCCAGAGCTGTCTGCAGGAGCCCAGCCCCACCCCCACACAGAGACTCCATTCCTCAAGCGAGGGGCTTCTGGACTAGCTCACTCAGGTCCTTCCCCAGCAGCCTCAGAGAAGGTCCAAAGGCCACCCCCTACACCAGCCCAACCTCCCATTTGGGGATCCCGGGGACCGGGGTGGGGGATGGATGTTAAGGACAGCGCTGCCAGTAACCCTGAGAACTCCGGGAGGGGCTGTCTGCCCTGCACCAGCCCTGCCAGGAGACGATCCCACAGAAGCACGTGCATGGGTGGGTCTTTTCTATGTCTGGAAAAGCCTACCCAGGACTGCAGCCCCATCCCTGAGTGTGCTACCTGCAGATGCCTTCATTCCCATAACACCTGGAACCTCCACAGCCCCCCTGCTACCTCCTCCCACAGCCCCTCTCCCCTCAGCCCTGGCAGCCCAGCTTGTCCTTCAGAAGCAAAGAATCCTCATCTGCATCACCTCCCATGGGCATCCCTGTTCATCAGGACACTCTGTCCAGCACTGTCCCCTCTGCCAGCCTGCACCAATGCCAAACTTCCCTCCATCTCAGTCACCTTCCATCATGGGACACCCTTGACCTCACATTTACCTCCAAGTCCCTTGCCAGCCATCATCGGCCTCTCCTCTTCCCCATTCACATCTACTGTGTGAACCCAGAAAAGTTTTAGTTCCCCCACCCCCAACCCACTCCTGGACTTTGTCCTCCATGCTCCAGCCTGGCCCCTTGACCATCTACTCCTGCAAGGCTCACTGTCACTCCAGGAACCTGCAGCCACCCACAGCTATCTGGCCCAGTCTCCAACCCCAAGTCACACCACCACCCGCTTCCTGTTTCTGCTTCCAAGCTGCAGAAATCAGTGGAGAGATGGCTGAACACTGCAGAGTGAGCTCACAACACTGCAGAGCCCTTGAGCCCTCCAGCCCTGCCTTCCCCACCGCAGCTGTTCCAGACCTCTCCTTCTCCTGAGCCCCCACCTGCTTCACCCCCTCAATTGCACCGTGACCTCAACTCGCACATGGCTGAGAACATGGAAGCCAGCCAGCTTAAGCTCCCTCATTGTCCTTCCCCTCCACACTGCAGCCACCCTGTCCTTGCTGTCTGGGATGCGTCTAGGGGGAGGGGACATCACCAAGATCTCCTCCAGGGCCTGAAGCAACTTGCCCCTCCTCTCCCACAACACTCACCCTCCATCAGCTGCTTCCCTGGGTTACACAAGTACCTGAGCCTTCTCCCCCAACCTGAGAAAACCACAAACACACCACAGACTCACACTCACATCCTCACACATACGTACCCCCACACACCACTCACATGCACACACACATAACCACATCACACACATACACTCAAATACCACACCCCTCATACATTCACATCCACACATATATACCACACACACACATCACTCACATGCACACTCACACTCAGATATAACACACCAGGCCAGGTGCGGTGGCTCACGCCTGTAATCCCAGCACTTTGGGAGGCTGAGGCGAGCAGATCACTTGAGGTCAGGAGTTCGAGACCAGCCTGGCCAACATGGTGAAACCCTGTCTGCACTAAAAATACAAAAATTAGCCAGGCATGGTGGCAAGTGCCCATAATCTCAGCTACTCAGGAGGCTGAGGCAGGAGAATTGCTGGAGCCCAGGAGACGGAGGCTGCAGTGAGCCAAGATCATACCACTGCACTCCAGCCTGGGCGACAGCCTACACTCTGTCGAACAAAAACAAAAACAAAAACAAAAAAATACCACACACTCACACACATTATTCACATATATATACATATACACACACCACTTGTGTGGATATGTGTGAAAGTGTGTTTGTGCACCACATTCGCTTGTGCACATACTTTCACACATATACACACAACCACACACCATACACATCACAGACACACCTCTCATACACACACCTTCACACTCACACATGCACATACTCACATACACATACTTTCACACATATAATCACACCACACATCACACAACCACTCATACATTCATGCTCACACATCCACATACATACACTCACCTACACATATGCCATACCCACACCCACACACTAACACACACACATCACACACACACACACACACACACCACACTCACACCACTGACACAGTCCTCTCCTTCCTCCTTTTCCCTGCCAATCTTTAAGACCAGGGTCCACCAACAGCCACACTTCTCCCCACCCACTCATCCTCCGCTCCTCACACTGTGTTCCCACCACAGGGCACAAACGGGCCATCCCAAGACTGTTGCCAATTTCCCAACAGTCTAATCTCTAGCCTTGAGTCCTCACTCCCTCCAACACCCCCGCTCAAGAGCTCAGCTCTCTTCTCCAAGTGCGCCCGGACTCTTCTTCCTGCACCTCCCAGTCCCTGCTCCCTGCACTCCCTGGGAAGCTCCTCAGCTCTGACCCTGACCCTTCGGTGTCAGTGTCACTGCGCCCCATCACCACGCCAGACATCCCTGGCCCTCTCTTGAAACCTGGCCCTGCATTTCTAACTGAATGACGGCCCCAGCTGAAAGTCCTCTTGGGACCTGTTGCTCAACCATATGACAGCTGGACCCCACCTCTTCCCGTCAAAGAATTTCCCCTTCTGGACTTCTCTATTTTGTCAGCAATACTATCGTCCACCCATACCCCCAATCTCCAAATCACCCTGAAGATTTTTTTTGCCTCTTCCCCACAGCCTTGTCTTCCAATTGCTCATCGCTTGCTAAGTCTCCGAGGCTCTGCCTTCCCAACAGCTCTGGCACACAGTGCTCACATGCGGGGCTGATTTTTCATTGCAACTAATGTTACTATTGCCCAAGAGTGAACACACACACAGCACTGACCTCCCTCGAATACACCTCCCTGCTGGTGAAACTTTCCAGAAAGCTTCCAAAGACACTGCTTTCACCAGCCCTCCTGACCCACCCCACACCTACTCAAAAATCAGGAAAGACTCTCCAGTGCTCAAGAGCTCCTTGGTGAGCCACTTCACCTCCTACTCCCTCCAGGCCCATTTGCCTCTCCAAGTAGAATTCTATCATTTTCCCACAGGAACCTTCCACTTTCTGTTCTCCAAACATCCCTTTCCTCTCTGAATTCTTAAGTCCTGCCTATCCTTCGAAGCCTTTCCTAACTTGCCAGGCCCCGAGTTGACTCCTGGGTCTGAGTGTCGGGAGTCCCTGCAAAGCTCGCTGGCCCCTGGCATTTTTTCCTATGCTGTGTCTGAGGGTACGCAGACATCCACACTATCAGTATGGATGCTTGGACTGGATGACCATCAGAGTCATCTTAGTCACCAGAAATTGGATGATCTTACCTCCTGAACTACAAGGCAATAACCATTGTGTAATTACAGCTTTTCTATTTTGAGTATTTACGTGCTAGATACAGAACCCAACACTCTCTAGGTATTAGCTCACCTAATCTTCACAACCACTATATGGAGTAGATAATGTTAAAGATGGAGAAACTCAGCCTCAGGGTTCACCTAACTTGCCCAGTCTAAGGACTTGGGAGGAGAAGCTGAGCCAGGAATTCCATCCTAGGTCCATTTGGCACCTGAAGGCTGAGCTTTTTGCAGAGATCTCTTCCCTCTTGTGTCCCAGTCTCCTGGGCACAGAGCACAGTGCCTGGCACTTGGTGGATGCTGGCTCAGCCCATGTTTACTGGGGCTGACTTATCTCCAAGCCCTCGGGCAGAAAGAGTGCTCAGAGGAGCAGGGAGATTAACACAAGAACCAAGAATGGGAAAAACCGCCGGGCGCGGTGGCTCAAGCCTGTAATCCCAGCACTTTGGGAGGCCGAGGTGGGTGGATCACGAGGTCAAGAGATCGAGACCATCCTGGTCAACACAGTGAAACCCCGTCTCTACTAAAAATACAAAAACATTAGCTGGGCATGGTGGTGAGTGCCTGTAATCCCAGCTACTCAGGAGGCTGAGGCAGGAGAATTGCCTGAACCCAGGAGGTGGAGGTTGCCGTGAGCCGAGA